TGCCTGAACCCAGGAGGCGGAGGTTGCGGTGAGCTGAGATCGCACCATTGCACTCCAGCCTGGGTAACAAGAGCGAAACTCCGTCTCAAAAAAAACAAAACAAAAAAAAAACAAAACAAAAATTAGCCAGGTGTGGTGGTGGGCACCTGTAATCCCAACTACTTGGGAGGCTGAGGCAGGAGAAATTGCTTGAACTCGAGAGGCGGAGGTTGCAGTGAACTGAGATCACACAATTGCACGCCAGCCTGGGCGACAGAGCAAGACTCTGGCCCCCTAAAAAAAAAATTCTTGATGGGGAAATACAAATCATTTTTATTATTTCTCAATCTTTGAATATCTGTGTCTTTAACAGTCTGCATGATAAAGTGAGAAGTACACATAAAGTACTTTGCTGCATCCAGTACAGTGGTTTTCTCTGGGAACTTAGTTGTAAATTGAAAGAGCCACATTTTTCATGGAATAACATTTCACTTGAAAGAATGGCTGACATCTTTTCCAACTACATATCTTGTGTGAGACTTAAACCAAAGTTTTATTATTATTTTTTAGAGACAGGGTCTCATTTTGTCACCCAGGTTAGACTATACTGCTGCAATTATAGCTCACGCATCCTGGAAGTCCCAGTCTCAAGCAATCCTCCTGTTTCAGTCTCCTGAGGAGCTGGGACAACTGGTGTACCCCACTGCGCCTGGCTTAAACCAAAGTCATATATTCTCACTATACTCAAACCGAAACAACACGTAATAACAGATAGAATGTAGGTGCAGATATGAGAATTGAACTGGAATCCATTAAACCAGACATTAAAGAGAATTGTAAAAAATGTGGACAGGTGTGGTGGCTCACGCCTGTAATCCCAGCACTTTGGGAGGCCGAGGAGGGCGGATCATGAGGTCAGGAGATTGAGACCATCCTGGCTACCATGGTGAAACCCCGTCTCTACTAAAAATATAAAACATTAGCCAGGCATGGTGGCATGTGCCTATAATCCCAGCTACTCAGGATGTTGAGGCAGGAAAGTAGCTTGAACCCAGGAGGCGGAGGTTGCAGAGAGCTGAGATCACACTACGGCACTACAGCCTGGGCGATGGAGCGACAATCCATCTAAAAAAAAAAAAAAAAAAAAAAGTAAAACAGTGCTGCTCTTCTCACACTAGTTATTTTTGGAAAACTTTCCATAAAAATGTATTAATTCTGGCTGGGCATGGTGGCTCACGCCTGTAATCCCAGCACTTTGGGAGGCCGAGGTGGGTGGATCACCTGAGATCAGGAGTTTGAGACCAGCCTGACCAACATGGAGAAAACCCTTCTCTACTAAAAATACAAAATTAGCCAGGTGTGGTGGTGCATGCCTGTAATCCCAGCTACTTGGGAGGCTGAGGCAGGAGACTCGCTTGAACCCTGGAAGAGGAGGTTGTGGTGAGCCGAGATTGTGCCATTGCACTCCAGCCTGGGCAACAAGAGCAAAACAGTGTCTCAAAAAAAAATAAATACATAAAAATTAAAAAGAATTAGAAAAAAATGGTGTTCAGGGAAGAAGCCAGCAGCACAGAGTAAGATCAATCAGAGGAGAACCAGTAGACCGTGGTG